AAAAAACGATAAACATGTTGTAGACACATATCACAACAACGTTGAAAAGCTTATAAAATAATGATAATGAATATTGTATAAATTTTATTTAAAAAAGTTTTAAATAAAACAGCCAAAAAAAAAAACACAATCATACTTTGAGGGGTGTTAGTGAACTTTAAAATAATTTATAGCTTACTTTAAAGGTTTTAATGTCAAAAATGAACAAATGCATTAATTTTATACAAAGCATTAAGCAAACGTCTGAATTGTTTTAAATATATTTAAATAACTTTTACTTTTGGCACTAACGTTCGTAAAAGAATTAAAGCTAAATTTTTGTTAAAACTAAAGCCCTAAAATAGGCAACAAAAGTTTTTGTTTAACATAATATGTTAACTAACTTCAGAATTATTTTAAAACGTATTAATATTGCAATAGCATTAAAGGAAAACTTTATATAGTTTAAATTTACAACGACTACAGGAAATTTCTTACACAAATAATAATAAAACCAAACCTTTAGTTTTGTTCATAACTTGTAACAACTACATCTTCCATAATTTATAAAAAGAAACTCCAAAAGTGCATATTTTAGGGGATTAACAATTTAACTGAAATTTATTTTCGAAATAACAAACAAAAGCAAGTTTAATGCATTACTAATGCCTTGTTTTCCAACCTCAGCAGCAAGTAAGACAATAGAAAAAAGTTTTGCTTAATTTTCCTTAAGCTATGCCCAAATTCTTAAACTATTTTTTGTTAGTATTAAAGAAAAAATTAAAAAAAAATTGCAAAATTACTATAGTCTACATAATTTTTCTATTAAACGATTTTAAGTTTCATTCCAATGAACTCCTTAGAGCATGTTGTACAATTCAGTTTTTCTAGTCTATGTCTATTTACCTTTAGCTAAAATTTTAACAAGTCAAAGTATGCAACAAAAATTCTTGGGATTTTTTAATTCAAATGCAAAAAATTAGTCGATGTTTTGTTAACATTTTTGTTCAACAAGTTAAATTTAGTTTTACAATGTATTCCTAATTGTAGTTTTAATTAAGCACTCTTGGTAGTTTAAGTTAAGGTCTCTTAGAATTTCAGGAGTTATTTCATCATTGCTTTGCATAAGTTCAAAGTCAATTGTTTGAAAATTATTACTTATTTTGCTTTGAAATCAAATACAATTAACGTAGGTTTCCTAAATTAATCAAGTTTTAATCAAAAATTGTATTAGTTCCACAACTATTTCTAGAACGCATGATTATTGTGATAATGAATGAATGAATGAATAAATAAATAAATAAATAAATAAATATAGCCTGTACTCGTTCTACTTTGGCGTTAAGACCAATGATTTTTGTTCGAAATTGTCACCTTCGGAACTGGTTCTGAGGAAGCGTTATGGAGTCGACACTCATTCTTTGGAACGTTTCTGGAACTAGTTCTTTAATCAATGACTTTTGTTCGAATTTGTCAACCTCGGAACTAGTTCTAGGGAAGCTTTCGAGAACGTATACGCTTAATTAATTTAAAATAGTTATTTGTTCAGCGCATAAGCACCAATTTAGAGAAACTGTTAAGGTATTATTAATATTGTAACCAATTTTATTAAGAAAACTTACATATCAATGTCTTATCTTAAATTCATGATCATTCTGCCGCACGTTAATATATACTACTTTTTTTGTACAGGATATACAAAACCAGCAGCTAACTTTCCATTTTCCCGGTACAATCCAATGAGGAATATTTTTAATTCTTTTAATTCAGTTGTATGCAGAAATATACATATGATTGCGTTTTCTATTTCCATAAAAATAAGTTTAAATTTTTTTTATTTTTTGTTCAATTCTATTTCAGTTCTAGTTCAGTTCTAGTTCAGTTCTAGCTCAGTTCTAGTTCAGTTCTAGTTCAGTTCTAGTTCTGTTCTAGTTCTGTTCTAGTTCAGTTCTAGTTCTGTTCTAGTTCTGTTCTAGTTCTGTTCTAGTTCTGTTCTAGTTCTGTTCTAGTTCTGTTCTAGTTCTGTTCTAGTTCTGTTCTAGTTCTGTTCTAGTTCTGTTCTAGTTCTGTTCTAGTTCTGTTCTAGTTCTGTTCTAGTTCTGTTCTAGTTCTGTTCTAGTTCTGTTCTAGTTCTGTTCTAGTTCTGTTCTAGTTCTGTTCTAGTTCTGTTCTAGTTCTGTTCTAGTTCTGTTCTAGTTCTGTTCTAGTTCTGTTCTAGTTCTGTTCTAGTTCTGTTCTAGTTCTGTTCTAGTTCTGTTCTAGTTCTGTTCTAGTTCTATTCTAGCTCTGTTCTAGTTCTGTCTAGTTTTGTTCTAGTTCTGTTCTAGTTCTGTTCTAGTTCTGTTCTAGTTCTGTTCTAGTTCTGTTCTAGTTCTGTTCTAGTTCTGTTCTAGTTCTGTTCTAGTTCTGTTCTAGTTCTGTTCTAGTTCTGTTCTAGTTCTGTTCTAGTCTGTTCTAGTTCTGTTCTAGTTCTGTTCTAGTTCTGTTCTAGTTCTGTTCTAGTTCTGTTCTAGTTCTGTTCTAGTTCTGTTCTAGTTCTGTTCTAGTTCTGTTCTAGTTCGTTCTAGTTCTGTTCTAGTTCTGTTCTAGTTCTGTTCTAGTTCTGTTCTAGTTCTGTTCTAGTTCTGTTCTAGTTCTGTTCTAGTTCTGTTCTAGTTCTGTTCTAGTTCTGTTCTAGTTCTGTTCTAGTTCTGTTCTAGTTCTGTTCTAGTTCTGTTCTAGTTTGTTCTAGTTCTGTTCTAGTTCTTTCTTTCTAGTTCTGTTCTAGTTCTGTTCTAGTTCTGTTCTAGTTCTGTTCTAGTTCTATTCTAGTTCTGTTCTAGTTCTGTTCTAGTTCTGTTCTAGTTCTGTTCTAGTTCTGTTCTAGTTCTGTTCTAGTTCTGTTCTAGTTCTGTTCTAGTTCTGTTCTAGTTCTGTTCTAGTTCTGTTCTAGTTCTGTTCTAGTTCTGTTCTAGTTCTGTTCTAGTTCTGTTCTAGTTCTGTTCTAGTTCTGTTCTAGTTCTGTTCTAGTTCTGTTCTAGTTCTGTTCTAGTTCTGTTCTAGTTCTGTTCTAGTTCTGTTCTAGTTCTGTTCTAGTTCTGTTCTAGTTTGTTCTAGTTCTGTTCTAGTTCTGTTCTAGTTCTGTTCTAGTTCTGTTCTAGTTCTGTTCTAGTTCTGTTCTAGTTCTGTTCTAGTTCTGTTCTAGTTCTGTTCTAGTTCTGTTCCTAGTTCTGTTCTAGTTCTGTTCTAGTTCTGTTCTAGTTCTGTTCTAGTTCTGTTCTAGTTCTGTTCTAGTTCTGTTCTAGTTCTGTTCTAGTTCTGTTCTAGTTCTGTTTCTAGTTCTGTTCTAGTTCTGTTCTAGTTCTGTTCTAGTTCTGTTCTAGTTCTGTTCTAGTTCTGTTCTAGTTCTGTTCTAGTTCTGTTCTAGTTCTGTTCTAGTTCTGTTCTAGTTCTGTTCTAGTTCTGTTCTTAGTTCTGTTCTAGTTCTGTTCTAGTTCTGTTCTAGTTCTGTTCTAGTTCTGTTCTAGTTCTTTCTAGTTCTGTCTAGTTCTGTTCTAGCTTCTGTTCTAGTTCTGTTCTAGTTCTAGTTCAGTTTGTCTAGTTCTGTTCTAGTTCTGTTCTAGTTATCTAGTTCTGTTTAGTTTGTTCTAGTTCTGTTCTAGTTCTGTTCTAGTTCTGTTCTAGTTCTGTTCTAGTTTCTGTTCTAGTTCTGTTCTAGTTCTGTTCTAGTTCTGTTCTAGTTCTGTTCTAGTTCTGTTCTAGTTCTGTTCTAGTTCTGTTCTAGTTCTGTTCTAGTTCTGTTCTAGTTCTGTTCTAGTTCTGTTCTAGTTCTGTTCTAGTTCTGTTCTAGTTCTGTTCTAGTTTGTTCTAGTTCTGTTCTAGTTCTGTTCTAGTTCTGTTCTAGTTCTGTTCTAGTGTTCTAGTTCTGTTCTAGTTCTGTTCTAGTTCTGTTCTAGTTCTGTTCTAGTTCTGTTCTAGTTCTGTTCTAGTTCTGTTCTAGTTCTGTTCTAGTTCTGTTCTAGTTCTGTTCTAGTTCTGTTCTAGTTCTGTTCTAGTTTGTTCTAGTTCTGTTCTAGTTCTGTTCTAGTCTGTTCTAGTTCTGTTCTAGTTCTGTTCTAGTTCTGTTCTAGTTCTGTTCTAGTTCTGTTCTAGTTCTGTTCTACTTCTGTTCTATTCTGTTCTAGTTTGTTCTAGTTCTAGTTCTGTTCTAGTTCTGTTCTAGTCTGTTCTAGTATGCCTTTCTAGTTCTTGTTCTAGTTCTGTTCGTAGTTCTGTTCTAGTTCTTTTCCTAGTTCTGTTCTAGTTTCTGTTCTAGTTTGTTCTAGTTCTGTTCAGTTCTGTTCTAGTTCTGTTTCTCTATTTTCTAGTTCTGTTCTCGTTCTGTTCTAGTTCTGTTCTAGTTCTTCTTCTAGTTCTGTTCCAGTGTGAACAGTTGCCTATTATCAGATTGCAGAATTTTTTAAATTGTTATAAAAATCCATTAATCTTTTTTAACATTTAAACTTATAAATTTAGTACTACATTTTAATATTTCGAAAAAGTTTTTTAATTTTAGCTACAAGTAATTAGCATTAGCAACTTTTCGCTTTCACAAACAATTTTTTTAACAGCCTTAACCTATACCTTGGGTTTTATATTTAAACAAAACATTGCCTCATTTAAGCCTTAACCAAACAAATATAAATACAAAATTTATTTTTTTTATTATAACACTTGCATGTTAATTTAATCATATTAAGTATGTAAAGAAAAAAAAAAAAAAACATTATAATAAATAATAAAAAGTTGTGTGTATAAAAATGTTTACTATAAAAATTTTTCCCTTGCAGATAATAAAGCGCAAGTAGTTTTCTTTTTCAGGGTATTTTTTAATATAAATTTAATATGTATTATAGTTTACTAAAGCAGATAACTTTATTTTTCTACAAAATTTACATAATAATATTAATTCATATATTTTTTCTTTTTTCATACTTTTTCGTTATTTATTTTTGTTTTTCTACACGTATATTTTCACGTACGCGTTATATAAATTCATACAGTTCTGGTGTTGGTATTTGTTGTGTATAATCGTCGTCGTGAGGCGCATATTAAATATCCTGGACCAGATGATGATGTACGCGAAAATATCATTAACTATGATGATGAGGGTGGCGGTGAGGATGATATGACTGCCTTTGATATAACACCACTGCAGATACCCATTGGTGGTCCCATGCCACCCGAATTGGCCACAATGAAAATGCCAATAATGTGTAAGTATGAAAAATATTAAAAATTCATAGTTTTTTTCCTGTATATTTTTATAAAACACACACACACACATAAATTAAGGTCAATAAGTTGTGCTAATAAGTTTGTTGTTTAACAAACTTTTATTTAAATTAGTTTATATGCAGAAAAAAGAAATCATATTACATGTGGTATTTTTATGTTATTTTTCTTTGCAAATAGATCCTGTTATGACATTAATGCCTGGCCAAGAGCCCAATGTTGGCATGTTTATTGAGGAGCATAAAAAACGTGCTGATGGTGATCCCAATGCCCCGCCTTTTGATGATTTACGCAATTATGCTTATGAGGGTGGTGGCAGTACAGCCGGTTCATTAAGTTCGTTAGCTTCGGGTAAGTTTTTATAATATTTTTTTGTTTGTTTTTTTTTTATCAATTAAATCATAATCTTTAGTTTTAGTTTATTTAATTATGCTTCCAACATTAAAATTTTGAAAATAAAAAAAAAAAATAAATTGCACTCAATATTCGTAATGTTTAGTTAAAAAAGTAGTTCAGTTTAGTGGTAATTTGATATACATAGTTTAAATCCCCAGAATTAGCATACAAAATGTGGTCTAAACTTCAAAATCATTGGTAAAACATTTGCATAATAGATTTTTTGAACTAACTAGATACATATTAGAAATTTTAATAAAATATTTTGTAATGATATGTAAGTCCTTTGGAATAATGATTTTAACAAGAATTTAAAAACTACTATTTATTCAACATACTTTCTCATGAGTACACTTAAAAACTTGAAACAATTTCAAAGCCCCGATAATAAATATAATTTTCTAAAGGATTGAGTTGAACTGCATTTGAATCTGATGTCATCTTACATTATAGAGTTTTTAAAATACTCTATGTTCACACCATTTTTCATTTATTATATATTTGGTTATACTACGCTAGACCAAACAAATATATAGAATTTGATCATCAATTTACCGTTAGTTTTAGCACTACAACATAACCTATCGTAACCGCTCTTACATCCAAAATATCTCAATAAACATATTGATATAGACAGGCCAGCAAAATTTGAAAAAATTCGAAACCTTGAAACCATGAAACCTTGTTCAGTGCTAAATCTGAATCTGCGTGAAGATATATCGAAGAAAAAAGAAGATATGTCAGGTGTTAAGCCTTTATTTTAAAGCTGACATAATGGACTTTATATGGGTACTCGATGTATATTTAAGGCACCAAAACCATTCAAGTTGAAAACTAAAGATTGAGTTTAAGTCTATTTCTTTCCTCGTTAGAGTCCAGAAGAAAGGGGTTTCTTCTGCAATTTCATAAGGTATTATTCGTTTGTGCTGATGTGCCCATGCAAAGTACACCAATTGGATCAGAATCACTTCTGATTAGATTACGCAATATCCGTCCGTCTGTCTATCCATATAAACTTTGTGCGCACGCTACACAATGCATTTTTCAACATAATTTGATACAATTTGGTACGTACTCTTCTCTGGACCTCTTCTCTAATAAAGGATATCAAATGATCAACCACTCATGATTTGATTATCTTTAGCTTTTCTACAGCAAGGGTTTGATTTAAATTTAACAAGATCACTTTATATAAGGCGATCAACAAACTATATAAAGAGAAGTAAAGATGCTATTAACTGAATACTCTGCCAGAGGTAAGGTTTACATCATATGGGTCACTCGGGAATAGTCGGCAACGGAAGGGCGAATGTAATAGTGAATAGTTAACTTGGCGAATGCAAAACCATTTGACGCAACAAAAGCTGAATTAAAAATATTGGTGAGAGTATACCATAAGGCCTCTTGGAATAATGAAACGGTGGGTAGAACCACAAAGATCCTATGAAGTGATCCTGATGAGAACAAAACGAGAAATCTCCTCAAAATGAGCAAGTCTGAAGTTAGTATGATGGTACGTATACTGAGTGGGCACACAAGATTACGAACACATCTATACAAAATTGGCCGTGCGGATACAGATGAATGTAGATAGAGCATGTGGAGAGGACAGTGAAACTCTGTAGCACTTCTTTGCCACTGTCAAGCATTCGTCGAAGTTAGATCCTAGTATCTTGGAAGTGATTTTATTCCGGAAATAACATTCCTGACTAAAAATGATTAGAAAATTCTTAAGAATTTTTTATTTCTTCGGATTTGATGTACTATACATCCTCCTATCAACCTAACCTAACCTAACCTAACCTAAAGATGCTATTAAGATGAGGTATAGACCAAGTGGGGTACTTGAGGTTGTTGAACTCATGGAGTATATTTCTTGATAATAGAAATGTCATACAAAAGAAGACGAAAGATTTTCACTTAAAGACAATATCAGATTCTGCACTGCACAACAGTTCATCTGAGTAACATTCGTGTAAAATTTTATTGTCGATGATTTAGTTATATAGTTAAACTCCTTTTAGAAAAGTAATTCTTTAGTAATTCTTAATTCTAATAGAACAAGAAACTGCACAATTTTCCCTAAAACATTTTTAAGAAAAAACATTACATTAAATCGCTAGAAAGCCAATTATAGCACTTAGCAAATAAAACTCTTTAAAACAAAATCAGGTAAAATTGCTAAAATTTTCTTACCGGCTACCGGCTAGTCTAGCTAGTATAATATTAATTTTATTAGCAATTTGTTAATATTTATACAAACTTTTTATTACAATTAAATATTTGTTTGTTTAAAATTACAGGCCTACGCCTAAGACTACACTCTAATACAGCCGAATATTGGGTGTAATCAAATTTAAAAAAGTACATAAATTAAATGGAGCATACATATTTTTATAATTTTGTGAAGTAAATTTTTTTTGCATTTTCTTAAATAATATGTTAAATGTGTGTTTTTTTGTTATAGGATTCACAGTTAATTAATAAAATGAATGTGTTTTTTAAAGAAAATGTAGCATACTTTTAGGGAGTAGAGTTTTTATATTAAAAAGAAGACATTTTGAATTCACTAAAAATGTCTCTTTTCTGAAAGAATGGTTTCAAATGATTCTAAATTTTAAACAAAAATTAAAAAATTAATAAATTTTGTGTAATTAATAGATGTAATAATAAGCCCCTCAAAGTACGCTACATTTTTTTTAAGGAAATAAATAAACATTGATTTTATTGCAATAATTATCTAAAAAACTGTGAATATTTATTATTGAAAAAACTAAATAATAACAAAATCTATTAATATTTGTTTTTATTATTATTACTTTTATTTAACGCAACAGGTACTGATGATGAATGCCAAGAATATGACTATTTAGGAGCCTGGGGACCCAGATTCGATAAACTAGCCAATATGTATGGACCCGATGCTAATAATCATACTACCGATTTAGAATTGTAAGTGAATAGTGAGAGAGAAAACAACCAAATAAAACACATAAAACACACGGACAAAAGAAAAAGCGAGAAACAAAGACAACAGTAACTAAATAAAATTGAATTAATCCCACAAAATGAAAGCGAAACAAATGAAGAAAGAAATGAAACAATTAAAAATTCAAATTCTAAAATACAAAAAGAAAAACTTCATTAAACGAAAATTAATCTAAAGAAGAAACCAAAAAGAAAAAAAAAACATACGAACAACACAAAACAAAAACTAACTAAATATAAAAGAAAAACAATTTAAGATTGCTAAGCAAGCTTTAAGAATTCAAATAAGAGGAGGAAGAAGAAGAAGAAGTAGAAAACAACCAAGGAAACGGAAATAAGTAAAAGGAAATTCGAAACCGAACATGAATAAGAAATAATTTCGAAATTAAAACCTTAAAACATAACAAAAAAAATTGAAAAAAATAAACATCACTACCAAAGATTTAAGTCGTTTTCAGACTAAAAGGAAAGTAAAAAAAATTAATAAAAAAACTACATTTCAACCAAACAAAATCCAATTACATTTGTAAAATACTACCACATACATACTCGTTTATACATCAAAACATACATATACTAACACCTACATAAATATATAAATACATACACAAAAAAAAGAAATCATGCATACATACATACAAATAAACATTCACTCATTTAGCATTTAATTTACGAAATGGAAATGAAGCAAAAAAAATGAAAGAAACAAAACTTAAAGATAAAGTTAAAAAATTAAAAAAAACGAAAACTATGTTTAGAATTTAAAGGATAAATAAAAAAAACCAAAGTCTCTACTTTATAAGTAAAAAACAAAAACATAATTATAAAAAATCAACCATGATAATTATAAATAATTTAGTTTTATTCAGCAAAAACACAAAAACAAATAGTAATAAAATTTTGTACATTTCTTTTAGCATTAATTTTTCTTTTTAATTTTTTAAGTTTATATTTTTAAGAAATTATTTATAAAATATCTTATTTATAAGTTTGTACAATTATTATTTATAAATATTTTTATTTTTTTATACAACAAAATAAACTTATACTCATTCGTATTGAACAAGAAAAGAAAAAAAACAACGATTTTAAAAGAAAAACTATACATTTTTGGATTTTATTTTTTTAATTTTGATTATAAAATTTTTTTACACAAATTACACAGGAATTGAGTTTTAGACAACAAACAAATTACACAATATTTAAATATATACATATGTTTTTAAAGAAATATATTATAAAAACAGCTGTACAATACAATACAACTATTATACATTTACTCAATCACTTTCTCACACTCACATTTATACAAAAAAAAAGAGATTAAAGCAGAGTTGCATTTAAAAGACAGAGAGAATTTCTTTCACTCTTCCAATCGAAAATAACAATCGTTGTGAGCTCAGATAATAAAATTTTAATCAAATCGAGTAAGATCACGAAAGGAATTCTTTCTTGTGGACTATATACTATATTTAAGTCTCTCATTGTCTCACACATTTCGTTCTTATAGATTTTTATTAATCCTAACTTTAGAAATAGTCTCGCAGTCATACAAAGAGGAAAAAGAAAGAGATTTTTGTAATGTAATAAGATCTCAATTATTATCATTAATACCGGGCCCACAAAAATTTGGGGCCTTGGTAACATTTTAGCCAAAAAGTAATAATTTTCTCCGGCTCATATCTTGCAAATCGTTCGGAATTGTGATTTACTCTCTAAGGCAAAGTTGTAGCTCTTGTCATAAAGAACAACAATTGTGAACATATGAAATCAAACAAATTTCATCCTAACTTCTTCATTTCAAGTATAAAGTTTTACATTGTGACTTTGCATTAGTTTTACCAACGGCATCTGTACGTATACGTATTAATAATTTATTGATATTACAAATATTAAGTATACGCCTAATATAGAGAATTTTTTTTTAAACAAGTAAAAAATCAAATTTTTTAAAGTTTTTGCGATTTTTGTTCTTTCAAAATTGCGAAAAGTTTACAAGATATGAGCTTGAGAAAAAATTGAACCGAGGCACCTAATCTTTAGTGGCCCCAAAAAATTTCATGTATTTGGGCAAAACTGGGAGTAACAGGTCTTTTTTTGTTGTCTTTTATCACGAAATGGTGCCCATATATGTTTATATGTTTTCTTGTTGCACTATGTGCTATAACAAAATCCAGTTTTCATATGAAAAAAGATGAAAATGATTAAAACAGTTGGATCGTTTGAACGCAAAGACATGTTTTCTATTGTTTTAAATACTTTTGACCCGTTTGATAATTTTCAGTCGTAGTTCTTTGCGCAGTAAAGAGGTTAATATGGATATTTGTCAGTAGGCAAACTAAGTCTTGCCGATAAGTAGGCTTTTTGTTTATAGGCACGGTTTTGGGGTTTTCAATACATCAACGACAGGTCAGCATTCCGTTCTCCTACTTATATATATATAGTCTTCGGATATGAATGAATGTAATCCCTGATTCATTTAATCGATTCCTCACCTTTATATTTGAATATCTCATTCGAACAGCCAGGAACCTTAAAAATACAGTTTTATCCAAATCTACTGTTAAGCTTAAAGCCAAATGACAAACCGTTCGGAATTGTGATTTACTCTCTAAGGCAAAATTGTAGCTCTTGTCATAAAGAACAACAATTGTAAACATATGGAATCAAAAACACTTAATTTCTTCATTTAAAGTGTAAAGTTTTACATTGTCAAAATGCACTACTTTTATTAACGACATCAGTACGTATACGTGTTAATAATTTATTGATATTACAAATATTAAGTATACGCCTAATTTAGAGAAGTACTTGTATTTACACGTAAAAAATCGAATTTCTTAAAGTTTTTGCGATTTTAGTTCATTCAAAATTCCGAAAGGAGAAAATGATTTTTTGCAAATCTTCCCATTCAAAATTGCTTGACTTTGGGCAAAACTGGGAGACACGTATTGATATCCGTGTACTATAAAAAAACGGTCTTTATTATAACCTATAAGAAGCTGTTTTTTGCGCACTAAAGAGGTTAATACGGATATTTGTCAGTAGGCAAACTAAGTCTTGGCTATAAGTAGGTTTTGTGTTTATAGGCCCGGTTTTGGGGTTTTCAATACACCACCGACAGGTCATCATTTCGTTCTCCTACTTATATATGTATGTCGTCTTCGGATATGATGAATGTAATCCCTGATTCATTTAATCGATTCCGTGCCTTTCGAATTGAATATGTCAATCGAACAGCCAAGAAACTTAATAGTGCCTTTTTGAAATCTACAGTTTTGTCCAAGACTACACCGGAAGATCTTCGTAGGATGATCTTGGCATTTTTAGGTGATGTAGTTTTTTATTTCTTCTTAGTTCAGCTTCATTTGAGTAGAAGACATCGAGGTCTTTGTAGAATGTGTTTACTTATCAGCTTCTTTTTTTTTTTCTTTTTTTCTATTCTAGGCTTCAACCTTGAACCTTCAGAGAAATCTCAAAGATGGAACTATATCTTCGAGATTTTTCTGAAAATAGCGAACATAAATGTTAGCCTGAGGACTTCATCTTTGGATATGATAAACGTAATCTCAGATCCATTAACACAATTCCTGATCCATTTACACAATATCATTTAAGCGCTCTTAATAGAACAGTCTGCAAATTGGAACTTTTTCTAGCACTCTTCGAGATCCACAATTTAGCCCTGTACCACTGATTGAATCAGCTTTTAGATCGACAACATTTTCAATTTAAGCAAGAATGACTCTAAGTCAAATGACTTCCGCAAGTTCTTTGTAGGGTGGTTGAGGTGTGGCTTATACTTATCTGTCTCTCTTTCTCGATATTTTTTGAGTGACATAGTTCACTGCAAACCTTCCTATGAGCTTTCTTTACATACATTTAAGCCGTGCAGTATAGCCTGTAGATACCTTCTCGGGATCATTAAGGTGCATGGGGACCGGACTTAATCGAACAACTGCAAATTGGGACTTTTTAAAGCACACTATATTCTGCAGCAACATGTTTCTTCGCTCTTCAATATATGGACTAATATACACTTCTATTTGTGCAGTAGAATCTGTAGATACATGCTTGGGTTCAGTTTGGTTCATAGGGAACTCTTCTGATTGTTTACCAATTTTGTTTGGTTGTTGTATTTATACAACTGAAACGAGCAAAAGAAATAAATCTTACAATTTGTATTAATATTTAAACTTTTTCAAAAACTTGAGATATGTTTTTTTTATACCCTGCACCACTTTAGTGGGGAGGGTATATTGGATTTGTGCTGATGTTTGTAACATACAAACCCACCTTAAAGTATACCATTCGGTTTAGAATCGTTTTCTGGAGTCGATTAAGCTATGTCCGTCCGTCCGTCTGGCTGGCTGGCTCTCCATGTAAACCTTGTGCGCAAGGTACAGCTCGCAATTTTCAAGATAATTGGATGACGCACGCACGTTTTATTTGACTCAAGGACGAAGCCTATTGAAAATGGTTAAAATCGGTCCATTATTTCACCTAGCCCCCATAGAACAAAACCCCCCGAAAAAGGCTTCTGAGCTCATAATTATGTTAAATATACAGATATATCGGCACAACTAAGTTTTATAGAAGTCTTGATAACCCTGCCAAATTTCATAAAGATCGGGCCTCATTTGACCCTAGCTCCCATACAAAGTCCCCTTCAGAAAATTACTTGAATGTCCCAAATTAACTTATAAACACAAATATCGCGATGAAATTCAGCACAATAAAATATTATGTAAATATAAATATATTCACAAAATTTTATCGGGCTTGGTCCATATTTGCCCCTAGCCCTCTCATAAAGCTCTTTCAGAAAATTAGTTTTTCATCCGTAAATTGCTTAAATGTATCGGAACAAGGGTATATTGAAGATAAATGCTTTATTATGAAAATAAATCACATTTAATATTCATAACTGGTGTAGGGTATCATATGGTCGGCCACGCCCGACTATACTTTCTTACTTTTTTTTTTTTGCAAAAAATCTCTAAAATTACGCTTCCATCTAATGCATAACATTACATAAATACACAAACACACAAAACACAATACATACATATAATAAAACACCCCCACAATATGTTATTTAGGGAATCTCCATTACAAAAATGAATAATTAATTAAATTAACAAATTAAAATAAATAAACTGTTATAAAACAAACCGTTATAAAGCAAAACAATAACAAAACCAGCAGAAGAAGCACCTTCCATATTTGTTTTGAATTTTTCATAATGTTTAAATAAACGTTACATGTTCTTTTTTATGTTTATATAATTTTCAATCATTATTAATACAACAAATCTCATTTGAGATTTAAATCCAATATTTATTATTCATTAATTATTAAAAACAAAACACTTTTTTTTATAAGGCAATTATTATGAATGAAAAACAAAAAAAAAAAATGATATTATTAATTAATAATTATATAAAAATAATAAAACAAAAAAACAAATTATATACATTAATAAAAATAATTAATTAATTAAATTTTACAAAGAAAAAAAAAACATGTAATGAATACCCAAAGACTGTTTTCGTTCCATCATTATAATAATATTAAAAAAAATAAAAAAGTTAAAAATTTATATTTAACAAAAAAA